CCTGGAGTGAACTTGCCTGCAACAAATTTAAAAAAAAAAAATGGCAGTATCATCATAACATGTAAGCTGAATGGTTAAGTATGTCTTCTATTAATAGCACAGTGATTTTACCTTTGGGGTTTTTAACAATAGGGGTGTGTACTGTTGTATAATCCAGTGGGCAAATCAAGTTGTTGCTCCTGAGAAGCTCACTGTCCACACACCACTTGAAGGCTGATTTAACTTTAAAGACATAGAGGATTGCTCTGTTTACATGAGTTTTTGTGACTACTGACTACTTATGCTACTAAAGGCTAGAATACACTGTTCGGAATGATTTGAAAGTCTGTGTAGTAGTGGATGAGCCTCAGTCGTTTATGTATGATGTCCAATTTTTATCTTTATCATTTTTCAAAGTCAAGCGTATGATGCCTGGTGTTTTAAAATCTGCTCTGATTTTAAAAGTCATATGTGTATTCCAGGCTTAACTAACCGACTGTGGATAGTAAAAATAATGTGTTGTTTAAATAAACAGAACTAGAGGACTGTACCTGGGGGGAGGCCCAGCTGATGGTAGGCCTCACCCACTTCTTCCATGATTTTGTTGTGATTATGCTCCTCTTTTGCAGCAGCTTGCAGACGGGCCTGTATGATGTGTGTCTCCAGCATATCAGCGCTCTCAATCCGTCTGTTGTATTCAGAATGCACCTGACAAAATCATAACAGTAAAACAGTAAAATTGTTTTTCCCTCAAGAGAATAATGTGATTTCAAGTAGATTGAGTTATCAGCCTGTGCAATCTAGAGTTTCATGCCAGAACTTTGTATAAAGCAGTGCAACTGTTTTCAGCATTGAAGATAATAATATATTTTTCTTGAGCACCAAATAGGCATATTAGAATGATTTCTTAAGGATCATGTGGCACTGATGACTGGAGTAATGGTTGCTGAAAATTTAATTACATTTTAAAATATATACATATATTAAAATAGAAAACAGCTATTTTAAATGAATATTTAAGAATATTACTATTTTTATTTGCAGTAAATTTCTGTATTTGGTTGCTTTGTGAGCGTTTGCAGCCCGTTTGTTATCAAACTGATGAAGATGTTTTCTTGCTAGTGTCTTTTTTTTCTGTTTGCATGTGTTTGTGTAAAAAATCTTACTGACACACCTGTTGAAGCTCCTCCACATATTTTTCATGGTAGCTGCTGCCTCTTCTGCGTGATTTACTGAGATTAGAAACAGTGTCCTTCCCAATCACCTCTATGGTGTAAAGGTCGTTGAATATGCTGGCCAGTAGATGAGAAATGTCCTGTATACACAAAACCAGTAACTCTCAAAAATATTACTTGTTTAGTGACAGTTGAAAATTATATTTATATAATACGTGAAATTCTACATAACATTTTGTATTCCACAGAATAAAGTTGTACAACTTCTGAAGTTGTATGAAACAACACATGAATGAGTAAAGGATGACACTATTTGACAGATTTTTAACAGCCAAGCTGTTAAAATAACATCCAATTGCAGTGGTTAGTAACGTTAGTCATTCTCTTACCTGGGTTGTCTTTGATGCTGGCTTGTGTCGGTTCATGGAGGGTTCAGAGCTCTTTAGTGCCTTTTGTTTAGTTTCATCGGCCATTATTTTGTTGTCAAAAGAAGCGTAAATACTTAAACGCAATTACGTTATGGTGATATTTTATACAAACGTCCCATAGATGCGAATATGTCTAATATAAAACGAAATGCACAAATAAAAAATGCGCTATATGACACCATAAGTTCCCTTCACTACATTGGCCGCCATGTTTGTTTAAGACGTCACCACGGTAACAGCAACTAGTAAAAAGCTCCGCATCCAAAGCGATTTATCAACCAAATGTAGACTGTAAGTCAGTAAGATTTTTGAAACTTAAACTTTCATTCAGTAAGTATTAATTTACCCAAATGACAAAGTAACTATAAACAAATAATAATGTCTCAAAAGATTTATAGGCCTATTCATACAATGAATTTTCTATTAACCTAGCTAGGCCTAATGTAAAAACATTGTTCTTGAATAGCAAATGAGCATAGAATTATTTCCGAAAGAATCATGTGACACTGAAGACTATAGTTTACAATAATATACAACAGTAAAGGTATGCTAGATTTACATAACCAACCACTTTTTAAAAGTGTGTCATCTTTCCGTAGCGTATCTTCTTTAGTTTCACATACATTCTAATGTGATATGTAACTTATATCATAAAATTATGGAGAAAATCTACACATTTTAGTTTGCTGTCAAATCGATTAATCGCGATAAATCGCTTCTAACATGGAGGTTTCTAAATATAGCCTTTTTTATTATTGCTTAAACAAAACATGACACACTTTTAAGCCAGGGTTTCGAAATGTATAGTTATGTGTGTAAACTGTATGCACACATTTAAAAACGTTCATGTTAAATGTAATTAATCGCGATGTGACATGATTAATTGCGATTGATTTCACAGCACTAGTTTTTAATATGAATACAATTACCTAAAAGCCAAAGAGTAGCCTAAAGTCGCTGTATAGATAGGCACATGGGCATAAAAGACAAAACATGCTAACAGTGCAATCCAAAAATAACGTGCACATGTGAACACCTGACCTGTCGATCAGGTATGCATTGTCGGTTTTGAAGGGTGTGCTAAAAGTTGCCAGACAGGATGATTTTCATTTCCCTATCATGAAGCAAAAAGGTTGTAGGACTCACCTGAGGCCTACAGTATTTAAAGCATTTTTGAGTTAATAGATTTCTTTACCTCACTTTTGTTTGTTGATTCACACCCTGCAAGACAAAATTAGTTCTGTTCGCTTGCCATGTAGGCTACTGGCAGTGTTCTGATTTGTCCCATGATGCAACACAATCACTCACAATAAATCAATATGCAACATTTAACACCAAAACAACCCCTAAAAATATATATATATTTAACAATATATATATATATATATATATATATATATAGATTGTAGGCTACACTATTAAAAATAAAAGATTCTTTATTGGCATTCCATGAAGAGCCTTTAACATGGAATTTTTTTTTTTTTTTTTAAGAAAAGAAAAAAAATGGTTCTTGTAGGAACTGATCACTGAAAGGTTGTGGAACCAAAAATTGTCCTGGCATTGCTGTAAAAACCCATTTTGGAGCATATATTTTAAATTCGTGTGTGTTGTAAATGTATTTCACCCCTTTATTTTCAATTAAATCCTAATGGCACATAAAAACCTCCAACACTGTTAGCCTATTTTATGTTTAATCTGAATCTGAATCCTAAAGACTATATACACCTGAATGATAAGATAATGGTTTTGTTATTAAACAAATCTAGGTGGAGGGTCAGAATATAAATGCAACACCTTTTCAGTCTTTGAAGAACACTTCGAGTAGAACACTGCTCGATGAGAATGGAGTTCTAGACAAATGAATCAAAACCATATGCTGCAACTGAGTAGGCTATATCGTTCTGCAAATCACCAAAAAGTAGACTTGTTTCTGAATTAAAAATCGGTCGTTTATAATGGGTGGAAACAAATGAAACTTTTCAGAAAACAGAGACTTGAAAGACCGGTGTTATTGTGGGTGTTGGCGAATTCTCGATACTGCTCTCGTAATAGGCGGGTTCCACAGAGTCATCAGTGGATGTTTAGGACACGGTTTAGGACACTCAACCCAGTCAGGCTCTGGGTGACTTCGGGACACAAAACGTCTTGTCCAACTTGGATAGGCTATACACCAACTGAAAGAAGGAAAGGAAGAAAAGCTAAATAAATAAGTAACGAAAAAAAATGGAACTCAATGGAAATACCGGCAAAATCGGTAAGTTTTGCAGTGATTTCATGTTTAGCCTATTCAGCGTGAGAAGTTCACATTTGATTTGAAGTGTCAGGAGGCTATTAACAATTGCTATAAACACCACTGATTTTAATTGCATTTTGTTTGCATTACTCTTTCCGCAGTCAGTGGAAGTGTTGCATTAGCCTATTTATAGTAGGCTAGCTTTCATTTTTATATGTAACATTTTTCTCTTTTGTGAAACATCTCTGAACTTTGGCTATGCAATGAGTTTAAGACGAGTGTGAGTTCACAATAAAACCATGTCAATGCCAGTTACAAAAAAATAATAATAATAAATAATAAAAATAGCTAATAATAATAATAAAAAAAAGTTTTATGAAGCCTACCTTTTTCTTAGAACCCTTTTTAGCCTCTGAAAGTGCGAATGACTAATGTCGACTAATGAGTTTAACCACAAGAAGGCGCCCTATCCCAAATTACGTTTGAACTGGTGATTCATCGGCTACTTTCGAACCGGTTCACTAAACGATTTGAAATCTTTTAGATTCAAATTAAATCCACTAAGAATTTCCATACCATGTAGCAGCATCAAAAGGACATGAATGACAACAAATAGATTTCGCCAGCTGCTAGATATGACTTTAATAAAGCTATTAAAAAAGCAATAGCTTTGCATTTTGAGTTTTACTAACTGCTTTCAAAATTGTTCTGCGGCATCCGTTTGAATGAAAAGCAGAAATTAATGTGTTAGACAGGTCATTCTGTCCAGCAGATGCACAGCATATCCAGCATGTAAAGCTCAGTATGAGTCTTGTCTCGTTAATCGGTCCGTCTAATGCTCAAGCACTGGGTTGCGATTGGTTCGCGCTAGTCAGCAAACCTGCTCTTTAAAAAGGAGGAAAGTTCAGCGAAGTTTACGAGTCAAACATGGAAGTGAACGAGAATGATTCATTCGAAACTACCATTTTTCCGTGAGCTAAACACTAGAGAGAAGGCAACAAGCAAAATCAGGTTACACCAAGTCTAGGTTACACCACGCTAACCTGTGTGGAGAATGTAAAAAAAAAATATTATCTCTTTTTATTTGTGTTATATTTGAATGCCATAGTGTCAGTGCGAAACTGAAATACACGCATATAGAAAGTGAATTGGAACAAAAACAATAGGATTTTTGCAGGTTTAGAACCCGCCCCATAGAAAGAGACTTGCAAACGTCATGGCTTTCTCCGTCGTGTTATTTTTCAACCAAAAGTGAGTCGATTACAGGACCCCGTTGAGGAATTCCACAATGTCCTGTGGGCGTAAGCCGTGCAAAAGGACGATATCGCAGGAGTTCATTTATCAAGAGCGGTGCAAGAACGTGGCGCACGAGAATGGGAAACGCATAGGTGGGTGTCGCATGTCGGGTCGTCGTGCGTTAAAAATCCCTCCGTGGACTTAAACTCCACGAGAGCTGTGAACTTTTCTGGCTCTAGTTTCAGAAAGTATGTTTCTTAAAAATGGCACGTTTCTATTTTTCCCCACTTGTTACTGTAAAACTAAACCAATGGGATGTCATTTAAACCGTGTGTAATACGTTAAGAGAACTCACTGACCATTTATAAATGTTCTAAAAAGTGTGTAAGTGGCTGTGCAAGTTTGGTAAAATAGCATTTTGAAATAGTAGGCTATTGTTTATGGAACGCATACACTGTTTAGATGTGTCCGTCATTGTCAATATCAACCAATCTCTGCAACATATTGCACAAGTCAATGGGTGTGACGTTTTGTTTCTGTAAGACACTTCACTCTAAATATGAAGTATTAAAAGCATTTAAAACATTAAGAGCATTTAAAATATACACCATGATGATGACTATGGATTCAGTGAAGCTGGCTTTGAGGGAAGTTATAACTGCATATTTCTTAAAAGATGAGCACTGTATGATTTACTTTCATGTTTGGGATGAGGAATGGGTCAAGGAGATTATCCCATTCTGCTTAATGTTGTTTTGCAGTGTGGTGTTTAATTAGATTCCAGCCAAATGGAGCAGAGAAGATTTGTTTTGTTGAGTGTAGGATTACAAAACTGTTCCAAGAATGGACGTTTTTTGGGGGGGTTGACTTATCACACTTAATCGTACAACTGTTGGCTACGTTCCATTGATGCAACATCAAGATTGACTAGTTGTGTATAAAGATTAGTTTGTCACTTTTCTTTCTGTTCCCAGATGGAAATAATCTCCATCTAGTTAAATGGAAAACTGCCTTGAAGAGTAGTCTAGCACCAAAACAAATCAGCATTACGACCATCATTTAATTGTGCCCTGAAACTAAATGTATTTTGAATGCTTCAGTTGCTTGGTTTACATATATTTTAATAATCATAATGTAGAGAAATTTTAATTAAATTTAGTTTGATCCAAAAGAATTTGTGGTGGAGATCTTTAGTATTCATCACCCTCAAAAAGAATGTGTTAAATTAATAACACAATTTATGTTGAGGCTACTTTAACAAATTATGTGCATTTTGTTTAAACGCTTTAAATTATTAAATTAATTATTTAATTAATTAAAACTCATTTAAATCATGTAATGACTTGTTAATAATTGCCATATAAACATCTGAATCTGACTAGATTGAAAGTAAGTTTTAACAAAAAAATGTGTAGTAATTTTATATATTGGAAGAGGAATGGGCCTAAAATGATTAAATAATGATGGCTAACATGCTTGATTACACAAGGTAGGATTTTGGGGCACAAAGTGGACAGGTTCCAGGAGCGCTCAACCTCCAAAAAGAATAATAATAATGAATAAATGCATCTTAAAAATGTTCCTTTCAACTTGTGCATTAAATTCTAAATCTTTGGTGAAAGTACACCATTGAGGTTTCAATTCAAGCAAGGTAAGAAGAAGACTCTTGGCATTTTTTATTTGTTACACACATGCTGAGTTGCACAATTTCTTTAGTCAGCTGTATATGACTCACAAACGTTTTACTGTAATGGTTTAGAAAAAATGATGTTCTGCAGAAATCCTTTGGAATACTAATGGTCAGTGATTCTGTAACTACACCATCTGGCTGCTTTCTTGAACTGTAAATGAACTGTGTACTGTTGACTAAACGTTTTTGAAAGCAACATAATATTGTTAAAATATTTAATTGTTGTATACAGTATAGTCTTGTTTTGAAGGGCCCATAAAATCTTGACTAATACATCTTTCCCTGTTTCCCTGTTTAAACCGTCATCGAAAATGAATGGGAATATTAACGGATAGCTTTCTCAAGGTATTACAGATCTTTCTGGCTTTAATTCTAGCACTGGCACTGCTGAAATACACTGACTTCGTGCACTAGCCCTGTTACCATCATGTTTTTTGAGGGTCATAATGACAAGTCAGAAGAGTATTTGAACTTCGCAACATCTAAGTTTGCAAATACTTCTGGAGTGTGATTTGAATGTTGAGATGAAAAGCCCGAAACATTTTCCTAAATGTAAAATACCCCACTTTTTTTAAGACTGCAATAGCATCAGTCATAAACATAAAACCACACACACACAGAGCTTTCTGAGTAAACATCGGGAATCTTCCCAGCACAAAAAAAATGCTTTCAGCTCCATTTCAAAGTATGTGGAGGCCAGATTTTTCCTCATTTCTCCGCCTTCTGCTTGAGTGCAGCCAGAGCCTCATAAACAGCCTCTGTGGCAAGAGCTCATGAAAAAATGTCAGCAATGTTGTGGTTTGCCCACACCCTTGGGTTCATACAAGTCAAATGGGCCAATTATCACTATGATAGCTGCATGGACAACAGCTTTGCATCTCATCAGGATGTTGCAGGCATTATCTGCAATATTTTATCGTTCCAAATTCAAGTAGAAACATTTAATGGAAAGACTGTCCGGCAAAAAGCAATCCGGCAAAAGCCTAGGGTGAAGGCTAAAAGATTTTGGCTCTCCTAGGCCAGGACGATAATTTTACCCCATTCTCCATTTCAGGGCTGTCGGTTGTTCTGTTACGGTGTGGTGTGGGTTGAACAAGACTCAAAATCCAAAGGCTCCGCTTTCAGCAGTGACAACATAAACAAACGGTACTACGCATGTGCATTAATCTGGCCCAAATTTAACTTCAATCCATAACAAGTAAATAACCTAAGCTGGTATTTCTTGCCAGTCAAAGAAAATAAATGTTACCTGGCCAAACTGAAATGTGACACTACCAGACCCGTTGAACAAAAATTGGAGACAAGATGTTTTTCTACCGACGTGTCTGATTTACCGCAGTGTTAAAAAAAAAACTTTGGCGAGCGCGACAGCGGGGTTTGATAAGGTTAACATAGCTCTCCTAATTACCTAGGCTTCTTACATGCTTGCTAACCTTTTTTCAAGGTGGGTCTCCACATTGACAGCATGTTGAATGGATCTGTGCAGCGCTGTTTGTGACACTGACCCGCTGTCAATGTGTTTGCGAGAGAGAGAGAGAGAGAGAGAGAGAGAGAGAGAGAGAGAGAGAGAGAGAGAGAGAGAGAGAGAGAGAGAGAGAGAGAGAGAATAGACGAATCCGACGAGCGTTCTTGTGTAGGCTGCCATCTTGTGGCGACGCCATTACTGAGCTGTTACACCGGCATAGACATATGCACCGGGATGTAAACAAACCTCGAAGATAAGGTGATAACGCACCCTTGATGACAGCTACAGCCAGGCAGACTTGTTGGGTTGATGATGTTAGACATTGGCCTCCAGTCACAGATGAAGGTACAAACGATCTTACAGATTATTTATGAAAATAGCTTGGCAAGCAAGCTAGGCTAACGTTTGCTACCGAGGAAACTAAAAAAAAGATCTGTCCATTTGGCAACAATAAATAAATAAATGAAATGAAATAAACAAATTCATGTTTTTCATTTGTGTCCATTATTTATCTAATTTTTACATTGCAACAGGCATGGGTAAGGTAACGTTACAGCTAGAAAGTATACACAATATCGACCAACTACTGTTTTTAAACCATGGAAAGAGGTCAATATAACAGCAGGAGAACAATTATGTCACATAACGTTACATTCAGCTCAGGAAAGCCATTTAATGACCATAGCATGTAAATTGAATAGAAAAAATAACAAGAGAGGAGATTTTGCTGATCACTATATCACACATTTATTATATTTTTTTACTTATGTCATTAAATAATTGTTATTATACGCGAATGTCCGCGTCTTGTACTCGCCCAGGAAATCTGTGTTTACCGTACGGCACCAGACAGGGGCAGTGGACCCGGGGTATTCACAATGTTTTCTCTTCAAAATTGAAATTTTACTGCCACCATTGAAACAATTTATAACAGAAACTGTTTACCCACTCGACATTATACAAGGGCTAACGTTGTAACGTTAGTGTCAGTCGTAAATCTCGAGCTGTTTATTCCAGTGGACGCAAGTTGCAACTAAAACAATAGAAGGCAATGGGGCAACGCTACCCAGCAACAGCTCAGTAATGGCGCCCGCTTACTTCCGGTAGTTTCGCCGGATTCGTCTATATGCACGCAACTCTGCAGTCAATTACAACTTTTCCAATTTTAAATTGTTAAAAACACGGAAATCAATATGTGGCGGTCAGCGCTGATGTGGTGGGCTGCCACTAATAAATCAATGTAGCCTATGGGAAACACTGTACCGGTTATCACTCAGATAAACATACCTAGGCTATTTTAATACCGCCGTCTCCCTCATAGGAAACTTTTTTATTTTTAAAAATGTTTAAAAATATATATTTTTAAAAGTTTGCTCCCTAGGTCAGGTTGCACCTCACAGCTCAACAACCTGCTCATCACCTTAACTTTCTCTGCAGTAGCTAAACACTAATAAACGAACAGAACGGAAGTTAACTTTGGGCCAGCTCATCACCATGGCAACGCGTCAAATACTTTACTTGGAAGTTTACTCAGGTACAGGCAGGATGGCAGGCAGGATGGCACACAAACACACTCTCTAAACACAAATAACAACCAACAAGGACTGACTGAACTGAAGGGAACTAAATACAGAGATTGATGAACATTGATTAATAGACCAGAGCAGCGCCATGACAGGTATGGAAGTGAGGCTGTGAGGGATAGATCTTACCGTGTTTCCAATGGCATCCGCTGTAAAAAGCTGAATAAAGCGGCTAGATTAGCCTAACTTACTTACAATTTTCCACAGCTTACATTGTCGGGAGTTTTTTGTCAACTGACATTTCTTAGAAAGATATTTTTTCAGTGTTTCATGAGCAGAACAATCCGAAAACACATTAAATAACAATACAGCCCATTGAAGAGATGCAAGTCTATCCCTCACAGCCTCGCTTTCATTCTCATTAAAAATCAAAGATGGCGCTGCCGTGAATAAGGCGTATGAAGACTTGATGATTGACAAGACAGGTGCTACAGATGAACTGATAAAAGACACATAACATGAAGACAATTTTGACAACCGGGGTATTTAGAGAAACAAATATCCACACCCGGGAAAAAAAAGAAGTTTTTTTAAACGAGGCCAAACCGCAGTTTTCCTTTCAGGTAAACGGGGCCCAAGTTTAGTTTGTTCTTCCCTCAAGAATATTAAACAAAATATAAAATATTTTCACTTATGTTTTGATTGTTTAATCAATTGTATAGGGTTATTAAAACAAATATCCTCTCCAGACATTACTTTTGGCCACTGTAGGCTATGTATATATAGCTATATATGCACACACACGTATATACTATACACCCTCATAGCTATATATATTTATATTCACACAGTGTTGGAATCATTGTGAGGGATGCAAATGATTTTATTGCACTGTGGGTTTGTGGTTTCAACAAGACAAAGATAACCACAATATCATTGCAAAATGGAAAAAGTGCTGTGTGTGAATGCATGTGGTCAATGTGTCAGTGTTATCTTTCAGACTATGAGTATTTAGGATACTTTAATGAAGAGGAAAAAAAATCAATGTACTGTATACTGAATATAAACAAAGCACAATGATGGACCTAATACTAATACTGAAACTATTGAAAGCTAAGCACTATTGTGCAATTTAAAGAAATGTACTATCAAACCTACCTGGAATGGATTAACACACTTTCATTGAAGTAAAACTCAATGATTTAAACTTTACAATGTTTAGATACAGCATGAAAGAGATTCAAAGAAAATGGTCTTGGTAACTTATACCATGCTTATAACTCACCCAGCCGGTTTTGACCTTCAGCAAAACTAAATTGTGCAAGATCGTTTTTCTTTAGTCTGGAGAGAGGTGTGTCCGGTCCTTAGCATTATTGCAAACATTTATATAATATTTTTAAATAGCTTTGATCTATGCATGACTGCCAGCTTGTGGCATGGTCTTTATATTTGAGCTTCCAAAAATACTTAAATTGAGATACTTTGACAGTGGACTTTGAGCATTTTATGACCTTTGTGAAACCTATTTTCATGGACGCATGAACTTGATACTTGCTTGAACTTCAGGTTTGCAGGGAGACCCGGACCTGCAGTTTTTGCTGAAAGGTGGAGACCTAATAAAGGTGAAGTCTAACACATGGAGGAAGACCCGCTTCTTTCAGCTGTCCGAAGATTGCAAGACCGTGTGGCTACAGACCAAGAAGAAATTCAAGAAAGACTCCAGCTGTAAGTATAAATGCTGTCCCTTTATTGAGTTCAGAGTCTGTTTGAGAGAGATGGGGAGAGCAGATTTTTTTCATATAATGAAAAATCAGATTTTGATAATAGAGCTTGATGGACTATGAAAAACATAACTGAGCTGCCAAAACATTCAGCGATTTTGAAAAAAAAAAAAAAAACTTTATATAATGATTTCTGAAGGATCATGTGACACTGAAGACTGGAGAAATGATGCTAAAAATTCAGCCTTCGATCACAGAAATAAATTATATTTTAAAATATATTCAATATAAAAGTTAGAAATTTAAAATTGTAATAATATTTCACTGTATTACTGTTTTTACTGTATTTTGGATCACTTCTTTCAAAAACATAAAAAAGTATTCTAAACGTTTGAACAATATATATATATATATATATATATATCAATACAAATACATTATTATATAAAAAACTGTTGCTTGATACACAGTAATCAGATAACCTTGGCTTTAATTTAATTTAATTTCCTGATAATACATGACCTCATGCTGATTTCAGCAAGCCTCACATCAAATGGCTCTCCTGTAAACTCATCTTTATAGTGTCCCAGAGCTGTAAATACATAGTTAGACCTGTCCTTCACCTTCCCCCACAAACATTTTGAACATCTGTAAGGCCAGAAAAGGCTTTGATTTGGGCAGAAAGGAAACATCTCGGACAAAATGACCGGAGAGAAGCGGAACGAAATGTTGTGGTGATCTTAAATCTGTTTCCCACATGTTGTCCAGAGACCTCTGTCCCTCAAAGCTTCTGGCGGCCTGGTTCCTCCTGGCCAAAGGCCTCAGATCAGGCCTCTTTATGTGCTATCTGCCAGAACGTGGCTGCCTCCACTATGTCCTGCATGTGTGTGAGTGAGAAAATCAGGACCAAACAAAATCAAAGGATTCTAGTTAAAACACCAGATATCAGCAGGGGAACCCTCTGGTCCTGCTCACATGATATTTTCACCCATTAGTCAGGTGTTTTGACAGTTTCTTACTTCCATTGGCCAGGAATGATGATTAGATGGATTGCACATGCAGCGGGGGGCGCTTCGGCCTCTTTTTATGTTCTCAAAAGAATGACATAAATGATGACAGAATGCTTGGAAAATGTATTAAACCGTAACACACAAAAAATGGCTCAATATAAGCATTGAAACATTAGAGGATGATTCAGAGACTTGTAATTGGAGCAATATACTTCTGTTGTTAATGGTTTAAAGACAAGGGTTTCATGTTTTTAAGCACAGGAAATGAGGTTGTTATTATCTTATAGTAATGGTGCCAAGTTTATCTCAAGTTAAATGGACTTACAGGGGTGGGAACGAAACAGAGGAAACATAACAGATTGTTTTTATCAAATACTAGTGCTGATGCGGCCCAACCCACTGTAAAACTATCCAGAAATAAGACAATGGCTATTTTTTCTCTCTTAAACCCTATTGACAAGTTAAGTAAAACATCTAACTCAGTCTTGTCTCCATGATAATAGCTGCAGTCCTGTGTGCTTATATGTGTGATTATATGTACAATGAGCAGATTTTGCCCCTGTTTTCCATGTTTATCCCCCCCTCCAGCAGAACATAATAAGGTCACATGGTCACACTCCCACCACTGTAACTTTTAACAGAGGTCACATGTGGCTAAATCAGTCTACAAAGTGCCCAAATATATACACTTAAAAAAAAAAAATAATAATAATTATGCTCAGCAAGGCTGCATTTATTTGATCAAAAATACAGTAAAACAGTAACATTATGATTTTTTTTAAACGTATGAAATTGAATATATTTTAAAATGTAATTTATTTCGTGTGATGTTAATGAATTTTCAGCATCATTACTTCAGTCTTCAATGTCACTTGATATGCAAATTTGGTGCTCAATTATAAAAAATGGTTCTCATTATAAATCCAGAAAACAGTTTTTGCTTTTCAGGATTCTCTGATTAATAGAAAGTTCAAAACAACTCTTTTTATTTGAAATAACAATCTTTTGTATCATTATAAATGTGTTTACTGTCACTTTTGATCAATTTAGTCATTTTTTTTAATAAAATTATTATTATTATTATTTTAATTTTATTTTCCCCAAACCTTTTAATGTTTTCAGTATATTAAACGTTTTCCATAAACTTTTCCAGCAAAATAGTTTTCTAGATTAATAATAATTATGTGAAATCTTTCTTAAGCATCAAATCAGCATATTAGAATGATTTCTGAAGGGTCATGTGACACTAAAGACTGTGTAATGAAATTACACTTTAAAATATATTCAAATAGAAAGTAGTTATTTTAATTTGTAATAATATTTCAAAATATTACTGTTTTTACTGTGTTTTTGATCAAATGAATCCAGTGAACGAATGCTTGGTGATGAATATAAGACGTATTTTCAAAACATTTAAAACAAAACCTTAATTATTCCAAACTTTTGACTGGTATGTGTGACTTGCTAAGGCTTAATCACTTCTATTGTTATTTTACAGTAAGTATTCAACTTATGCCTTGTTCATTCCTCTCATGAATTATATCTAAAATCAGGTTGCTCTGAGAATTAAACTTTCTCCTCTGTGTTTAAGGAATCAATAAAGAGAGTACCTCCCAGGATGTGGTTTAACAACCAGATATATAGCCTTGTGGTTATTAGAAAAACTATAAACCAATGATGTGACATGAATGCAAAAGAAATGAACTATCATTTTTAAAGTTGAAGTGTGCAATTTCTGCATCATCGCTACAGTAAATTGTGATAAGAAAAAAGATTGCAACATGAAGAAAATGATCCACTTTAAAAAAAAATGTTGGTGCAATTATTAAGAAAAATGTTTTTGTTTCAGAAACTATAAACAATTGATGAATTTGTAATAATCTGATGAAATCTGACAATAGCAGGTCAGATTGTGGCCAAGCACAATGTTTCCTTTCTGTCAGCTTGTTTGAATGGAATCTGAAGGATGCTAGACTTGCCTTTGACACTGCTTTCTTTCAGCAGTTCACTTGAGATTGGGTGTTATATCTAAATTGTTCTCCTACAGACCCCACATTTTGTTACATTTCATTTATTATTTGTGAGCATGCACCAGATCTAAAACAGCAGATTATCTCCAGCTGTGTTTTTTCCACAACTTTCCACAAATATTGTACAAATTACTGTGAGTTTTTTCTTCTTCTTTTTCATCAAATGGACAATGCTAGAAAGTGCTTAACCTTTTTTTAGTATGAACTAAACAGTTTTAAAACTTGTGATTGTCATTTCTAGCAAAAAAAACATCTTAAATAAAAAGACAAATTCTGCAAAATTAAATAAAAAATAACTACACTAGAATGGGTAACAGGACTGCCCATGATTTTAATCAATTATAATTAAATAATTTAATAAATTGGTTAATAATTTAAATTAGTTTTTACTACAATTAATTAAATATCAATTTAACATCAAGAATTTATTTGGGATTGTGTACACTGGAGTTCGGAGCCCTCCCCCCGGACAGCACGCCAAATACGCATGAAACTGAAGTGTGTACTCAAGAATTACGTTTTTACGGACAGTTGGGGCCCTATCACATAGCTGGTGCAATGCAGCACCAGGCACGACGCAAGTGTTTTTGCTAGTGTCAGCCCGACGCAGTTATTATTTTCACGTCCTGCGCCACATTGTTTAAATAGCAAGTGCATCTGCACCCATTTGTGCGCCCATGGGCGTGCTGGTCTGAAAATGAGGTGTGTTCAGGCGCATTCTTGATGCGTTGCTATTTTGAGGCAACTGAAATAGACTGTGCCATTGACCAGCAAAAACTTGGTCTAAAGTCAATGGTATAATAATATTTTTGTTATTTAAAGAGGTGTTAGTAATATGCGCCTATATAGGCTGGTCCACAACGCGGGTACACTCCCTTTTTACACACACAGGGCAGCACACAAACATGCCAAATATTAAAAATAAAAGGATTACATTGTTAAAGATGAGTGTTGTATTAGAAACTGGCTTTTAAAGGGAATGGGAGATGAGACTCTGATTGGTTTTCTGCACGTTACGCCCAAACCACACCCATTACTCATTAAGAGAATAGGGACAACCCTTTTAGGCCATGCGTTGGTGTGCCGACCGTTTTTATTGACGTTAAACTAGCAAAAGTGGATTCAGACAAGCCCTAAGTGCACTTGCGCCATGCGCTTACCGTTAAAATAGGGCCCATTATGTTTTTAAAACTATAGCTACTTTTTATATTAGACTAATTAATACTTTTGTTTTTGTCTAATATAGACCTCACAAAAAAAAAGGATCCTTTACTGTTTTGTCATGCGTCACCAACTATATTCATGGAAAGTGGCTTGTATTTGCTTTGTTCCAGTCGGCTGAGTACACACAAACAAACCCTGATCTGATTCCTCACAGTAAGCCATCTATTGTGTCTAATTTTTTATTTGGGATCACAAATTGATTGCTGAAGAGATCTCACTTCCAGGTATAGCAGTTTATTGATGTATTTGCACACAGAAAGGTCAATTAAAGCTCTAACTAAAAAGTTGACTCAGTTCTGTTCACACATTTCTCCTATGAACACTGTGGGAACAGTTGAGGCTGATAGCCACCTACATGTATGTTTGGGTTCCCCCTGTCTGTGTGTATGTGTTTTGCTGAGGATTACTTCTGAACTCTTCCATTCATTAACTTCTTAACTTCTGCACAATACACATGATATAGTTTGTCCCTGTATTTGTTTAACACTGGGATTAAACGGCAGAGGTCATAGGAGGAGAGTGATTGTACAGCTGTGTTTGCCAAGCACATTCACTAACCTTCAAAGAGGACGACACTATTGATCTTATCACCTTCTTATCAGTATCTTACGTGATGCCTGCAATAAATTGTCTTTCATACAGCAGTGCTTAGCCAAGATGTATTGATTATTCATGTACCTCTGGAGTTAAAAGGATAGTTTGTCCAGAAAAGAAAATTCTGTCATCATTTACAAACACAACAATCACCAAACGAGAACCTCATTGGTTCTTGCTGAAGCTCAAACGTGTTGCATATCACGAGAATGAACCTCATTGGTTCTTGTTGAAGCTCAAATGTGCTGCGTAACACGAGAATGAACCTCATTGGTTCTTGCTGAATCTCAAACGTGCTGCGTATAATGAGAATGAACCTCATTGGTTCTTGCTGAAGCTCAAATGTGCTGCGTATAATGAGAATGAACCTCATTGGTTCTTTCTGAAGCTCAAATGTGCTGCGTATAATGAGAATGAACCTCATTGGTTCTTGCTGAAGCTCAAACGTGCTGTGTATAATGAGAATGAACCTCATTGGTTCTTGCTGAAGCTCAAATGTGCTGCGTATAATGAGAATGAACCTCATTGGTTCTTGCTGAATCTCAAACGTGCTGCGTATAATGAGAATGAACCTCATTGGTTCTTGCTGAAGCTCAAATGTGCTGCGTATAATGAGAATGAACCTCATTGGTTCTTGCTGAAGCTCAAACGTGCTGCGTATAATGCAGTGGTGGAAAGAGTACTGACAAATTGTACTTAAGTAAAAGTATTGCTACTTAAGTAATAATTTACTTGAGTACAAGTAGAAGTACTGAATTATAATATGACTCAAGTAAGAGTAAATAAGTAGTTTGCTTAAAAACTACTCAAGTAATTGCATTACAAAGTACTTTATTATTTTTCTATTTTTACCCAAAATGGGGAGATGATAGCGAAATGGAGCGCTAAACACTCTCTTGTCATCTGTTTCATTCATACTGAAGGCCCAGTACTGATGCATAGAAGTATTAGGCATTTCAGGAAATGCCTTTACGGATATAATAACATGCAAATAGTGATGTTTTGACTGATGAAACATGAAGACAAACACATAATAGCTATAATATATCTCTGTTTATCTCAAACTGTCAGGTATTTTCAAAAGAATTATGTATGACTTTAAAGGGATAGTTCTCCCAAAAATGAAAATTACTCCCACGATTTACTCTCCCTCAAGTTATCTTAGTAGATATGACTTTCTGCTTTCAGTCTAATACAGTCAGAGTTGTATTAAAAAATGGCCTGGCTCTTCCAAACTTTATAATGGCAGTGAATGACTGAAGAAAATTTGAAGCCCAAAAAGTGCATCCATCAATGATAAAAATGCTCCACATATAGACTACTCATTGGTTCTTGCTGAAGCTCAAACGTGCAGCGTAACACGAGAATGAACCTCATTGGTTCTTTCTGAAGCTCAAACGTGCTGCAAAACACGAGAATGAACCTCATTGGTTCTTTCTGAAGCTCAAACGTGCAGCGTAACGCGAGAATGAACCTCATTGGTTCTTGCTGAAGCTCAAACGTGCAGCGTAACGCGAGAATGAACCTCATTGGTTCTTTCTGAAGCTCAAACGTGCAGCGTAACGCGAGAATGAACCTCATTGGTTCTTGCTGAAGCTCAAACGTGCAGCGTAACGCGAGAATAAACCTCATTGGTTCTTGCTGAAGCTCAAACGTACTGCGAAACACGAGAATGAACCTCATTGGTTCTTTCTGAAGCTCGATTGTGCTGCGTAACGCGAGAATGAACCTCATTGGTTCTTGATGAAGCTCAAACGTACTGCGAAACACGAGAATGAACCTCATTGGTTCTTTCTGAAGCTCGAATGTGCTGCGTAACGCGAGAATGAACCTCATTGGTTCTCGATGAAGCTCAAACGTACTGCGAAACACAAGAATGAACCTCATTGGTTCTTTCTGAAGCTCAAACGTGCAGCGTAACGCGAGAATAAACCTAATTGGTTCTTTCTGAAGCTCAAACGTGCAGCGTAACGCGAGAATAAACCTAATTGGTTCTTGCTGAAGCTCAAACGTACTGCGAAACACGAGAATGAACCTCATTGGTTCTTTCTGAAGCTCGATTGTGCTGCGTAACGCGAGAATGAACCTCATTGGTTCTTGATGAAGCTCAAACGTACTGCGAAACACGAGAATGAACCTCATTGGTTCTTTCTGAAGCTCGAATGTGCTGCGTAACGCGAGAATAAACCTCATTGGTTCTCGATGAAGCTCAAACGTACTGCGAAACACAAGAATGAACCTCATTGGTTCTTTCTGAAGCTCAAACGTGCAGCGTAACGCGAGAATGAACCTCATTGGTTCTTTCTGAAGCTCGAATGTGCTGCGTAACGCGAGAATGAACCTCATTGGTTCTTGATGAAGCTCAAACGTACTGCGAAACACAAGAATGAACCTCATTGGTTCTTGCTGAAGCTCAAACGTTCTGTGTATAATGACAATGAACCTCATTGGTTCTTGTGGAAGCTCAAACGTGCTGTGTAACACACGAGATCTTGAACATGAAATCTTGTGCTATATCACAACATAGTGGTTTAGAGGTGTCAAAATACACTCATATATTCTTGTTCGTGTTCAGACCTGCTTATCACATGGGTCTCAGAAATAATTTGTTTCTAAGGCTTCAGGCTGTAGTTATGTTATAAGTCAGTCTGCCAACAGAACAGACTAACAAAGATTTCTTGTGAATAGCAGTTTTATTCATAAAAGGTTCAAAGACTCAAAAATGAGTAATAATTAAAAATCTCTTGCCATTTTTACAGTCAGCCTCGGGGACATTCATTCTGTGCGGTATGGGCGTCAGACTGAAGGGATGCAGAAGTACACTGAGTCTTCAGTGGAGGACCGTTGCTTCTCCATCGTCTTCAAGGGTCGACGGAGCAACCTAGACTTGATAGCCTCATCTAAAGAGGAGGCCAAGCATTGGGTCAGCGGTCTGGAGAAGGTCATCAACAGCATGGGCAACCTCAACCGCCTACAGAACAGCGAACAGTATCCTTTAACATCTATTCTCCAAAGCCTGGTCTCTGAACTTATTTGTATGGTTGTAATAAAGTAGCCTGCCTAACACATTTATATTTACATTTTTTTAATTGGAAAATTTCTGGCTCAAAAAACATATATATATATGAAATATTTTGAGCGTTTAATATTCAGTCCTTACATCAGACAAAAAGCTGGATCTATGACTGCATGCGCAAGGCAGACAAGAACGCAGACAACAAAATGAACTTGAAGGAGTTGAAGCATTTCCTACGTCAGATCAACATTGTGGTGGACGACGATTACGCTGAGGCGCTCTTCAAGGTGAGAGACAAATCATAAAGCAATTCATAGATGTCTAAAATGCTGTAATTTAAAAATGAAAACGTTGTAGGTGTCTCCTGTTGCAGGTCCTCAAGAACTGTTTTATTTTGTATTATATTGCAGAAATGTGACACATCACATTCAGGCACTCTGGAGGGATCCGAAATTAAGAACTTCTACAATTTGCTGACTCACCGTCAGGAAGTTGATGTGATATTTGGAAAGTATGCTCATACTAACGGACAGATGAGCTCCAACGACCTTTTGAACTTCCTTCATACTGAGCAGAGGGAGCCGGTTTCTTTGGATTATGCACATAAGCTTATCGATAAATTTGAGGTGGATGAAATAGGTAATGGCACACAAATTACCAGTAGAATACATCAGATAACACAGTATTCACAATATTGCACTATTATAATATTTTACATAATATAATACTCTATGCTATGTATATATTTACACACACACACTGTGTGCACAATTATTAGGCAAGTTGTATTTGAGGATTAATTGTATTCTTGAACAACTACGGTGCTCTCAGCCAATCCAAAATGTTAATAAACCTCAATCCTGGATATTTAAGGAAGTAAAAGTGATGTGTGCACAATTGTTGTGAAAGAAAAATGAAACAAAACGTTTGATGGTTCTGTGATCACGCACTAATATCTTGGCAATTTCAAGAGTGCTGGAAAGACTTTTTTTACAATTTTTGACTTTTTAAAGTCAGATAAATCTCTTTTTTTGGCCCAATTTACCCGAGGAAAAGTACCTCCCTAATAATTATGCACACCCTGATATAGGGTGTTGATCTCCTTAGGCCACACCCTCCCTCATTACACAAAAAACACATCACCTGAAATGCTTAAATCCAATAAACATTCAAGTTTAAACAGCTTGGAGTTGGAAAAAATGCATAAAAATGGTGATGTGGTCAAAATATTCACTTGCCTAATAATTCTGCACACAGACAGTGTATGTATAGGCCATTTCAAAAGATGTAAACACTGGTCCAGAAGCACTTCCTGTTTCAGTTTTTTAACACTATCATATAATATAATATAAATTAGGTTGAAAGAACAAAATCATGATAGACCTGAATTACACAATCAAAATAGCAGATGTATTAAAAAAATTTGAATTTATTTGTTTACAATAAATGTTAGTTAGTATAAAACAGTGTTTTTGTACTTACCCAGCAAAACTGAACAAACACATGAGCATAGATGGTTTCCTGATGTACCTGAACCATGAGGAAAGCTCCATCTTTAACCCCGCCCACAAACCAGTGTACCAAGACATGCGCCAACCGCTCAATCATTACTTCATTTCCTCTTCCCATAACACCTATCTGATGGAGGACCAGCTGAAGGGGCCTAGCAGCACAGAAGCCTATATCAAGTACGAACATGTCTGTTTACGCAGGAATTCTCAACAGCAATGCATATTAAGCATTCCTCCATAAGCAATGGCTGTTGTCTTTTAGAGCACTGACGAAGGGATGCCGCTGTGTGGAGCTGGATTGTTGGGACGGTGAAAACGGTGAGCCGGTCATTTATCACGGCCACACGCTCACATCCAAAGTGCTCTTCAAAGACGTCATCAAGGCCATCAAAGAATATGCTTTCAAAGTGAGTGAAATTACACAAATTATATGGTGTGATGACTTATATTATTAGTTTTGTGGATTATGAAACGTGTTTCATTGCTACGCTAGACCTCACAATATCCAGTGATCCTGTCTTTGGAGAACCACTGCACCATACCACAGCAGAAAATCATGGCCCAGCACTTATCCTCCATCCTGGGCAGCGCTCTGCTCACTCAACCACTGGGGGATAGCATGCCCACTGCTTTTCCAGGACCTGAGGTTAGAACCCTATAAATACACAGTTTCACATGCATGTTTCCTGCTGCACTGCTTATTCTATAGAGTGCATTATTAGCCTTTTCAGCAATGTCGGCCTTATAATTATAGTATAATTTTACTATAGGGTTTTCAAAAAGGTCTTTGTTAAAATGTTCAGCGACCAGCTATGTAAAAAATCACAACAAAAAAGCAAAAAATATAATTGGCAAAAAAAAGGTACAAGACTGTGTAGTTAAGGGCTATGATAGAAGAAGCACACAACTCTGCATGATAAATAACTCTGCATATTGCCACCTGGTGGACAACAGAAACAGATTTATAGAGCTAAACCTCTTTAAAACTCTCTTCACCACACCCCGCTATCCTCAAATGACTTCCTCATCATCCATGCATACTTCCTGTCTACTTCTTTTTCCACAAATTCAAATAGCTCAAGACAGAGGAAGGGATTATCAGTGGAGCTGATTATGTGAATGCAGATTAATTTTTTTGGATTGTAGCCATTTCACTTCCTGATGATTCACCAAAATATGCAGAGAGCTTTTGAGCTGCATTCTGACAAAGGCAAATGACAAAACAGTACACGTTCAGACTGGTTGCTTATTTTGGTTGTGGGGTGGGAGGCGCTTCTGATTGATGATGTCACTAGGTTTATGAGCTTGTCTGTTCGAATTACATGTCAACTCTGAGCTTTGTCCCGCACTGAGAAGTTCTTCCAGTTTCTCGAAATGAAACTGTGGCAGGATGGAAATCAAGGAAGATTCTTATATTTCAGCCTGAGGGCAGCTCAGCCATGAACAACCATACACCCAAAAAAAACACACTTACAAGAGAAATATCATCTTTCAGTTCCATTTGTAGTATGTGAAGGTTATGTAGAATTTCTCACATAAAACTACCTATTCCACACCCCTTGGGTTTTTTTTTCTTCATTATAAGTGTATTAGTGTCTCCATTTGATCAATTAGTAATGCTTGCTTTGTTCTCTAATTTTTAGTCACTTTGAAAAAATTTAAGTCACTCTGAAAAAACCATCTGGTAAATGTAATGATAATTTATATTTTAACATTGAAAGAGTTTTGAATAAATGTTAAGTGGGCGCAAACTTGTGGGTGACCCAAATTCAAGTTCTGACTCGTGGTTCTTACCAGATCATGTTCATATCTCTGCTTACACTATCCTGTCATAATAAAGGCAAAAAATATATACTGTGCACTATCTATCAAAAGTCTCTAAGATTTTTTTTTTTTAAAGAAGTGCTCACCATTGCTGTATTTATTTGCTTATTTACTAGTAGTAATATTGTGAAAAAATATTACAATTTAAAATAACCGTTTTGCATTTAATATATCTTAAAATGTACTTATTCCAGTGATGGCAAAGCTGAATATTATTCAGCAGCCATTACCCCAGTCTTCAGTGCCACAGTATAATAAAGTGTAACATGAGAAAACAACAGAACGTTCCAAAGAACAGCATTTATTAGAAATAGATTTTTTTGTAAAAATTTAAATTGTCTCTATTAATCAATTGAATGCCTCCTTGCTAAATCATTCATTTTCTTCTCCAAAAAAAGTGACCTCAAACATTTGAACGGTTCAATAAAAGAATTTTTGATTAAATAGTATTTATTTATAACAATAATTATTTTATTTATAATATTTTTACATTTTATATATAAATACTTTTTATTATTATGTTTCATCTACCAATAAGAATGCAGTATTCACTACTTAACTGAACACATTTGAACATATTTCAACAGATTTAATTTTTTAATTTCAAATTGATTATATTTGTGTCATCTACAGTACATGTTTACATTTGCAGGAGCTGAAGGGACGTATTCTGGTCAAGGGCAAGCGTTTGAACAAACTGGATGCAGCTTTCAACAACAACACCTCAGAGGATGTGGACAGTGTGTCGGAGGAAGACGAGGCTGCTGAACTGAAAGAGGGTGAACCCAAACCCAAAGGCAAGGTGTGTTGAACAACCCTGCAGTCATTCAAACTGCTTTTCATGATCAATACAGTGGAACTCTGGAAATTAACAAAGAGCTTTTGCTCTACCAATAAAAACAGGAAGAACTTAAAGATTTTGGTTTTAGAAAACATGGTGTCAGTGCTACAAAATTACAAATGCTACAAAATTAACACCCGCAAAATAACAAATATGAGGACAAATTGCGAAAAAGGCACAATTACTCACCAGACTTTGGAAGTGCAGCATAGAATTTGGTTTAAATCGATTTAATCACGAGGTTCATTTGTAATCTTATCTAAAGTCCTATTTCAAACCATTTTATAAAACACTCCACGAAGTATATTTAGGGCCGTGGAGCATATTTGCATTCACAAATCTGCGGTAGATAAGGTCGAGTTCAAATCGGCACACTCAGCTGTCACAGACATTCCTACAAAAGCCTTATTCAAATTATTAGACCACAGATTTTTTCTGCTTATTTGTCATCCCTTTGTCATTGCAATTTACTATATGTTGCACCCTGTAATTAAAATCTATCTTTGATTACTTTGTAGACTTCCAATAAGATCAAGCTGGCTAAGGAGCTGTCAGATCTGGTAATCTACTGCAAGAGTGTCCATTTCAGCAACTTTGAGCACTCAAGAGATACTCAGGCCTTCTATGAAATGGCCTCTTTCAAGGAGAGCAAAGCAATGAATCTGGCGGAAAGCTCAGGTACAAGGGTACACAATAGACTGCTAGAGAAATGACATATTTTTGTTGGCCAAAACCCGGAAATGAGTAGCATTTTAGTGGTTCTGAGTCCACCCTTCTTCATTTTCAGTTAAATACCTAAAATAAGGTCTGTGGTTAACACAAGCTCAAGATATTTTCACGTTTCCAGTTCATCATTCAGCGTCCTCACCGTATTTACCATTTTTTGCAGCCTTTACCCAGACGTTGGAAACCGAGAGTAACTTACTACCGCTAAATGTTTAGCCTTTAAATTCTTAAACCCAGGAACAATGCAAGTCGACACCATCATGACTAAAAGTTTACTTAGAAGTATTTCCTTCTAAAGCAAGGAGCTATTTGACTCTAAGAAGTGTATCCATAGCAGAGTGGTAGGAGTAGCTTTGGATGGCAACATGCCCAGTGCATTGTGGATGTTGAAGTTTTTGACATCTGGGAAGACAACAGTACCCAGGCAATTCTGTTTAGGCTTAATTTATTACAGTTATTTTGTTTAGAATCAAACTTTTGTTGTTATTAGAGATTATTTTCTGCAATAATCCCAATAATCTATTGGGTTTTTGTGGAGGGAACCAGTGTGATGCTAACCTCCGGGTTGGCTTACAAAAATATAAATCACTGCAGTGCTCTATAGGGCCTGAAACCAAAAAAGAAATATTTTTTTTCCTAAAATATGAGTGATGTTGTCAGATGTACTTTAAAATCACATTTCTCTGGCTAATGTCTTAAAGCTATGGGATTTATTCATCACAACATGGATAAGCTGAGCAGAATCTACCCAGCCGGCAGCAGAACCAATTCATCCAACTACAATCCGGTGCCCTTGTGGAACGCCGGCTGCCAAATAGGTGCAAAGCCCACTGTGATATGACACAATACGAGTCTAATTCAAATCAGAAAGTCTGTTTATAATATTAATCTGTTTTTATCCCTCAAATTGGTTTACAGTGGCTCTAAACTTCCAGACTCCCTGTAAAGAGATGGATCTGAACCAGGCCCTCTTTTATCCTAATGGCAATTGTGGCTACAAACTGAAGCCAGAGTTTCTGAGGGACCCGGACTCTCAGTTTGACCCCGTGAAACTCACCGTAGGCCCCTGGCTGAAGAAGAAGACCCTGCATATCATGGTGAGATTCTTCTGTCCTGCACTGCAAAAAAAAAAAAGAAAATAAATTAGGGATTATTTAAATTAGGGATTATTATTATCAAATATTTATACAAATGCATTTAAAAAAAATATTATTAAAAATGAACCACACATTATAATGTACAATATTAAAATTAGGGCCGGGCAACGATTAATCACGATTAATCGCATCAAAAATAAAATAATATATGTGTGTGTAGTGTGTATAATTATATAGCATATCTAAATATACACACATGCGTGTATATTTAAGAAATATTTGCATGTATATACTATGTATATATATATATATATATATATTTATACATAATGTATATTAATTATAACACATTTTTCTTAAATATATACTTGCATGTGTATAATTTTTTTTATATAAAAAATAATTATACACAGTACACACACATATATTATGTAAACACAAACTTTTATTCTGGATGTGATTAATCGCAATTAATCGTTGCCCAGCCCTAATTAAAATAAATATACATTTTAAGATTTGCTATTTAGAATTAGGTTACACTTAACATCGTTATTAAATTAGTGTTTTTACAGATTAACTTTAAGTGAGTGTCGGTGATGGCAAAGATAACGTAAAAATGGGGAAAATGAGGATGAACAATTATCCAATATTGACTGATACGGATGAATCCCTTACTGATATGACACTGATACACTATATCCTTGATTCCTAAACCAAATGCAATCCTATCGAAGGGAATCCAAACACAGTGCCCAATTACTCTATTTGTTTGTTCAGATCATCTCAGCCCAGCAGCTGCCTAAGATCAATAAGGACAAGCAGAGGTCCATTGTGGACCCTCACGTCAAAGTGGAGATCTACGGTGTGCCAGATGACAATGCCAGCAAACAGACGCATCACATTGAAAACAATGGCAAGTGTCAACAGTGCATTTACTTTTTTTTTTTTTTTTTTTTATCAAAGTGTAGGTCACTTAAATGTTTTTTTATTTTGTTACAGGTTTCAATCCTATGTGGAATACAAAATTCCAGTTCACTGTTCATGTGCCTGAACTGGCTTTAGTGCGGTTTGTGGTGGAGGACCATGATGTTGCTAAACAGAATGATTTGATCGGCCTGTACACTGTCGCTTTCACCAGCATGCAGAATGGTGAGTCGGTAAAAAATAAGTGAGGAATGACTTATTATTATGAATTTGCTCACCATAAGTCCTATCTTCTGTCTTCAGGATATCGGCATGTGCCTCTGCTCACAAAGAGAGGAATCCTCATTCCTTCAGCGGGACTGTTTGTACACATCATGGTTCTTGATGCTTAAGAGACTGCAACATTCCTCTCAGTCATCTCAATGCCAAGTGTGCAGATCACTGAAAAGGACAATCAACTAAAATCCTATGCGAACACTTTCTAGGATAACATTTGGACTTCCTTTTCCGATGTGTCTTGCGGTTTACCGATCAGCCCTCCTCACTTATATGAGTACCAAGATGTCCGTCTAAGTGCTTCGTGGAATTAGGTGTGTTTCAATTTAGAAGGTGGGGTAAAAAGCCTTTGTTAGGCCTTTGTTGAACCTGCAGCCAAAAAAAAAAAAAATCTCTCTCTACACATTCCCCGTCTTTTTTTTTTTTTTTTTGCCTTTGATAAATATTGTTTAAAAATAAATTATCAATATTAATTTAAATATTAATAGTTATTTAGTCTGTTTTAAGTATATATTTTATTTAACTCATTTTTATTTTTGGCTTCTGGCTAACAATAAGAAAGTAGAACTTTCAGCTCAATTTGACCATATTGAAATCAATTTTGGAGATTTACACAGATTTTACCCTACAGTCAGTGCAGAAAATGTTAAAAGTTTAAAGCAGATTTAGTAAAAAAGTAAATATGTTCCAGTCTCTTTCTTGTCCGAATCAGTAGTGTGTATATCACCAAAAAATCTCTTTCAAAACAGTTTATTTTCAAAGATTTGTAATTGGACAATATATTTGACCTAACACTCTTTTATGTTGTAATGTTAAAAAGTGTGTATTCAAAAATATACTACACTGATGCCTTTTTACATTAACAGAGTATTTCAACAGTGTTTGTATATTATTTCTATCTAATTATCAATTGTTCTTCTTGGCCAAACATCACCTTGAAGTCTTATGTACTAAAAACGAAACCGTCTTTTTCACGTACATATATGACGGTTCAGATATGATTTACACGAATCTGCAAAAATGCTGTATGGATGTCAGGCCAGTAGTTGGCCATGTCACTTTGTAAAGAAACACTACACGCCCATATACTTAACCCGGAATATGCATGCGCATGACAAATTCACGTTTTTGTAGTTTACGATAAAAGTAGCGTTTTCAAAAACTTGCACTTTGAAATCCGCATTCAAAAGTTAAAAAGTTCAGGAATAAAAAGTGTAAAAGCCCTTTATTTTGGTCAAAATCATATCTTAGGTGCCTTTTACAGAAAAAAAAAACACAAAGCAAAAACGTTTTCTATTTTTAGTTCATGGTTGTCTTGTAAACGTACCCGTAAAGAGGAGATTTAATCTTAACAATAGCAGCCATGTGTTCAGTGTTGTGTGAAATGTGTTAAACTCTAATAATTTTGTTTATTACTGTGTGGTCAATATTTTTTTAAAGTGGCTTACAAGGGCTAATGTTCAGTTTTAATACAACATGTTCTTTACGTGAACTCAGGATACAAGCTAAGCATTTACCACATATTACCAATACATGCTATCCATTATTTTCTGATAAATATGTTCAGCTAATGTTTAATGTCAGCAGGTGTTTGTCTAGTTATCTTGTCAGAGAGTTGCACTACACGTGTGTATAACGTAAAAGAATGGAAAAGTTATACATTTATCTAGGTGTCTTTTATATTTTTAAGGTGTTTATTTTGTATTCGTCGTTGTTGGTGTAAGGTATTGTTGCTTTTGTTATCTGCTCTAGAAACATTTCTATTTTTATGTTGTTTTCGAACTAATGTGCCTTATAGGAAAGTTGTTACATCAGTAATATTAAGCCATAACAACATCTGTTTCTCATGTCCTGTTCTGACGTCCTCCCAACAGGAAAGAAATGGCTTTACTTACTCTAAAATGCTGTGAGAAACCATTACATTCATTAAAAACTGAATCTCAAAAACGTTTCTTGCCATACAGTCTTGTTTTTATTAGTACTAAAAAGCATTTAGATCCATCATTTTGGTGGTGTATCAAGACTATTTCTATTAGGTCATACCTTTAAATGTGTCAAAACATTTCTTTGATGAATAAATAAATCTATGACAGAGCGTAGGTTACAGTCGTCTAGCCCAAAATCCCAAGAAGCACATTAATCTTGTCTGAAGATCAGAATTTATAATTTCATCCCAATTTGTGTGCTTATGCAATACTCTGCCATTTTAAAGTATAAATAGTGCGAACAGTGTATTCACAATGAAAATTTTAAAAAGAAAAAGTGCGCTTTAAATACCTGAATGATGGACTAAAATAACTGCACTCCTCGTGCGATAAAATAACCGTATAAAATTCATACACTACATTGATGAATACATATTGCATAAGTACATGGTGTATAGTGAGTAATTTCAGACGCAACTTATCTCATTATAGTAAAAACCGACTCAAAACAGTCCTGCTTTCTTTTTAAGGTCGTTCTGACGCCATTTAGGCAGTCGCTGGAAATTATTACGGCTGCAGCCGAGAAGATTCTCAAATTCTGCGTCAGTCAAAAATTCCTGAAAAAGAAGACAGTGTAAGAAAAAAAAATGTTACCACCACATAGATGATAAATCGTATGACTTTATCATCCCAATCAAAAATGTTTCAGCACCCACCTCTCGTTTTCCAGGGTCCTGTCCTTGACGCAGCTGGTTAACGTTAGGTGTTTGAGCTAGCTCAGAATTGTGTATCCCAAAAGGCTTTGTCCTGATGGGAGACTGGTCTGCATGTGCACTGGTGATGGAAGAGGACATCCGCTGGTTATGGGACCTTATATTTCCCGGTCCTCCCGGAGCGCTGTAGTTCCCCACACCTCCTCCTGTCTTCTTATTAAGGTCTGTGTTGTTGAGATTCTACAGGAAATGAGCTCAACATTATGTTTAGATCTGCACATAAGTGTGTAGACCATATCAATATATAAATGTAGTTAGGTAATCAATTTAATCAAATCAGAAGAATCAATTGAAATGCATCTGTTGACATCAAGGACAAGTATTTGATCAGTAAGGTGAAAACTTTTACCACAGTGATTTGAGAAATATCACCCAGCTTGCTTTTCATCTCCTCATATGAAAGGCCTCCCTACAATATAGAGTGAAACTGAAAAAGTGTCTCTCTGTGTAACAATAATTCATTATGTGGTGTGAGGGTGGACAAAAGTATTTCAAATCAACATGACATGGCACTCTGAACCAATTTTACTTTCATAATATATGAATATTCAACCAAAGAAAAGAAGGCAGAATTTGATTTTAAGTTAACCATTATTAGAAATATGCTTATGTTGGATTGTGAAAAATAAACGTGGCCTGAATGTGATAATATCTTATTACTTCCACTTATAATAATATAAAATAGTAATAATAATAATAATATTAATAGCAAATTTCTTCTCTAAATATATGATGATGATGATGATAATATTGTATTATTCCTATTATAAATACTATAATTTTTCCATTATTATTTTTATTATTTAGATATTATTTATTATTTTTATTATTATTAATTATAGTATTTTTCTTAACAATAATAAAGTAAATCATTCAGGCCTAGCTATTTTATTATAATTTTACTATTATATAATATACAAATCCAATAAAAAATATGTAAATAATTAATTGCAATACAATAAATAGTCAGCAAAATTTGTGATCGTGACAGGCCTATTTTGGAATTTTGACATAGAATAAAAAGTCATGCACAATAAGACCAGGGAAATTCCTTATGAAAGTAAAAAGGGTCCATTTTGCTTTCATGTTGATGATGATTATTAAGTGAGAATCAACAAACAATTATTGAGAGATTGTGTTAGTTTGTTAGTGACTTTATGTTGTGCATTACTGCCCCCTGCTGGGCAACCTTAGCCTGCTCGACTCACGCTCCACTTGTGGGCATCCCAAGCATTAAACCAGCCGGTGAAGGTCGGAGGCTCATAGCCTTGTTTAACGGTGGAGATCGGTGTTCCAGGGTCCCGTCCTGCTGGGTGGGTTTTAAGATAGTCCACTGCACTGCTATAGGACTCCTGAATCTCGTACTGGTTGGCTGAGTTGCCAATCCAAAGGCAAATCTAAAGAAGAAGAGTTTTGACATTTTTTGATTTTTTGAAACTTTTTGGTGCTACAGCCCCCAATTTAGACATCCCCTTCGAAACAGGACCCCTATATAAACCCAGCTATACAATTTAATTACCAAAAAAACAATTTATTTATAAATTAGCCTTGTTTGTATAAACATAAAACCATACCTGTCAATAAATTAAAATAAGCTTAGTCAATTGATCGAATGAATATGTATATGTATATGAAGAGTTCAGATGCAAAAGCCTCTAAATGCCATTTGAAATTTTCTTCTTTAATGATGATTTTTATCAAACTTGTATATTTAAGTTCAGTAATTTCACTTAAATAACAATTAATAGATAATTATCATTGCCATTTAAGTGAAATCACTGAACTTAAATATACAAGCTTGATAAAAATGATCATTCTAGAAGAAAATTTCAAATGGCACTTAGAGGCTTTTGCATCTGAACTCTTCATATGAATATGTTTCCCTTTTCTTTTGAAAACCCCTTGGTTAGAGTAACTCAATACTCAAAACATACAGTAGAATTGTTATTTGATGTCATTTTTCTCTGTTTCTTTTGCATAACCCAGAACGGCACCGCCATTTCACCGCAGCCGCATGCAAAAGAAGCCGCCTGCATGACCTCACGGAACCCACCTCCTCCCAGGTGTCTAATAGCATGACATCATCCTCATCCAGATCGTCCTGAGAGAAGTCAAACACTTCTGTCATGACGAATCGGCCCGTCTGATTGGAGCATTCAAACAGACGAGGATTGTGAGGTGACACTTCTTTCTCCAATCTGGTGGAGATACAGAGAAAGTCAGTGGAAATGATCAACTGTCCTCTGAGTTAAAGTATGAGCTCGTGTTTTTCTGGTTGTACCTCTTGTCGCTGGCATATGGAGCTTTCCCTCCCAAAGCCACCCAGAAAGCAGCTGGTTCCTGTCCTTCCATCACATTCTGCTTATCCTGCCCAGAAAGCAAGTCAGCTACTGCTTTCCCCATCTCCCTCTCATCTCCACTGCAGCCCTGTGGGAAACATAAACACACACCACACACACGCAGAGTTTTCATGTTTTATGGAGACTTTCCATACTGCACAAACTGTATCTCCTAACCCTAAGCACAACCCTGAACACACACAGAAAACATTCTGCATTTTTTCAAATTTTCAAAAAATAATAGATAAAAATAGCCTATTGCCAAATTTGATGGGACACTTTGTCCACATAAAGTAGGGATTACCTGATCCACACACACACACACACACACACATAATAGTTCTGTCAAATCAATAAATACCGATTAAATCGCATCTAACCACTCTAAAAAAACGATTTGTTGGCTGAACAACCATTACTTATTAAACTAATTAGATAAAACAAAAACAAAAATAAGTATTCAAAACTTTTCCAATATTTGAGTTCACGCAACATTCTTTACTTAAAAATATATGCATCACATTACATGTATTTTTAAGAATGTTGCATGAACTCAAATATTTAAGTACATACCTGTATAACAAAGGTTTTTTTTATTAATTTTAAGTAAAATTAGTCCATGTTGGGATTACTCAAAAAGTATGATGCAAAAATGGTGCATATTTATTTTAAGTAAATCCAACACATCATTTTTTGTGCATAAAAGTATGTAAACATATAATATATGTGTGTATATAGACATACCCACCGTATATGTATACATATATATTTACAAACTTTCATGTTTGATGCGATTAATCGTGATTAATTGATTTGACAGCTCTAATTAATAAATATATATTTAAGAATTTCAATTATGATTAATTCATTTATATATTTAATTTTTGCTGAAGTATAATTGCTTCTTGTAATTCCACACATTTTAGTTTTAGTGTATACTTATTTACACATTTATTTATTTAAAATTATTATTTAATTATTGTGTGTTTTTACTCACTTTTCCATACCACAGGTACACAGTCTGAGGAGTTTTGAGCAGAAAGACATCATTGGTGTTGAGAGAGGAAGCTCGGGCGGGCACCTCTGTTGCCTTGGTGTTCATCTCGTGTGTTCCTCTGACCTGAAAGAGCCGGGCACCAGGGTCAGGGTTCACAACACCCGCTCTGCCTGTCCCACCCTAAGAAAGCATCAACACGTCAGTGGGTCAAGAGCACTGAAAAAACGAAACGCTCAATAATAAATCTAGCTCATTCAAATACGAATATAGATGAAAATGACAGCTCTAATTATTTGTAATACACATAACTAACGATTCTTAAGGATTACAAATTGTAAAAATGTTTGATAATGTCAGCAATAATGGTTATTATTGTTACTTTAAGAAAAAAGAAGGAAGAATAATTTCATTTAAAATAAATCTATTCTTATTCGGATTCCTGAAAGTGATAGAAATTATAAAATAATGTACTATTTAGAGTTAATGTTCCATTGGAATGAAGGGACAATCACCTCAAATATGATGAGTCTGGCCTTAAAGATGGCCAGGAAGTGTCTGGGCTCTTTTCCCATGACCACTCTGACCTGTGTTGGGGCTCCATTGTATTTGTTATCCAAATTCACCGCTTGATAAGCGCATGCCGTCACCTCATCCTGTGTGGCATGGCGACCCTGCGGAGAACACATGCTTCGTGTCATAGGGTCTCCAATGTGTAGATCCAGATTATAACACAGTGGAAGTCTAGTTTTACAGGTCAATCCTAAAGTGAATATGATTTATGTGAAAAAGGCTGCTGTAAATTTTTACAGTAACTTACTGGCAGCTGGATGCCAGTAAGTTACTGTAAAAGTGTTTATCACTACGGTAATTTCATTTTCAGTGATACAATTGTATACTGTATTAATATTTACAGTATGAGTACTGTGTTTTTCATGTACAGGAATAATACTGTATATTGTATTCATGAGTACAACTACTGTATTTTCATTTACAGTAATTGATTTCCTATTAGATAATTAGATTTTTTTTATGATTTACAGTAGAAAATAATTACAGTAGTAAACATATTTTCACAATTCATGGCTATTTACAGTATTGGTACATTTAACAGTATTATACTGTACATATTACAGTAAAATACAGTTCAAATTACAAAAATCTGTTACAGTGTACAGTTCCAACTTTAGAAATACAGCTTAAATACTATTTATTTTGTACTGTAGCTATAGTATTTCATATACAGTAGCTCAAAATATTTATGTCGTACTAAAAAGACATCCTATGACTGTTTTTGCATTATATAACAAACATGTATATAGCACAAACCCACTTTTACTGTGAAATGATTCACAAAAATTTTGATTTGTGTGGGGAACTGACTGAGACACCCAATTAAAATCAGCTGACCAATAGGTGTTGCAAAAAAAAAAAAAAAAAATGCTTTTTTTAGATGTTTTGTTTTCTAATGCAATTAAATTAATTAGTGTGGTTTTATTGTCCTAACTTGGATCTGTAACTGTGTTGCTCTACATACTGTATGCATTCTCCTCATTATGAAATAAAATATGATAGGGCCCAGAGTATTGACGTTATGCTCCTCACCTGCCACATGTAGAGGATGTACTGAGGTTTGTTGGCTTTGTTGTAAGTGTACAGCACTAGATAACAGTCTCCACCATAGAACTGTCCATAAGTGCTTCGGTCCACCTCCTTCAGTTCAAGATTCTCAATCCGCCAAATCTGAACACAAAGCAGTGGAGATGTTTGATAACAGTGTGACAGCAGGCCCAAACTTCTAAATTCAGGTATTCCACCATACCTGAACGTGTCCTGAAGCATCATCGACCATCCGCTCCTGAGCAGCCAGCTTTGGCTGGGCGTGAAGCTCCATTACGTCAAACTTCACCTGATCCACTTTAGCTGCGATAACAGATGTGTACACAAACAACACATTATGATGAATATACTAAAATGACAATACTGAAACATCTTCACTCTCACAAAAACAATACTGAATGACGAATCACCTATTTTTCCTACTGTGTGGATCTTTCCTAGGCCTTGGGTTTGACCTTTTTCTTTCCAGGACTTGAAGAGATGTTTAAACATGGCAGACTCTCCTCCTTCACTCATAACTTCCACTTTGGTGTTGGACGGGTAGTTCTTTGCTTTTATAAAGCCCTGAGGGATGATTATTCGTGTGCACCAATTATGACACAAATCGAGAAGTGATTTTGGTCATTTAAATTTCCATTTAAGATAAAAAAATACTACTTTGCAGATTGATGGTAATTCGCCAACACAGATACTTACAACCGCTCGACTCAGTGCCGCGCGTCGCTCTTCATCTGATGCTCCTTTTCCCTTCCAGACCATTATTGAGTTGCCACCATGATCTAAAAAATAGCAATCCTGCAAACAAAACATAATCCACAGTTAGTCG